GAATGGTGCACACATCTCAAGAAATACATAATGGAGTTACGGAAGGTACATAGGAAGGCAGCTAAGAGAAACAAAAATAAAAAGGCTGGGAACTTGGAGAAAAGAAGGGTGAAGGATACCTGGAACAAGATAGATCTACACACCAAAGCATATAGTAGACTGCTGATAGTATTTTAACAGAAGGTAACATAGCTGTGCTTTGCAAATAGAAGAATTTGAAGAAAGAGGTTTGGGGGAGGAATTCCCTTGTATTGTGCAATGTCCAGAGGAATATCCATGAGTAAACATACCATTGGGCTCCTTTTAAAGGCAAGATTGAAGCAATCTCTAAAGATTGCCCAATGTTCATCCCCATTTGGGCATGCACCAAGAATGGCACAATAACGTTATTTACCAATAACGAATGCACAAGGTATGGAATACAATATAAAATAGAATGTCCTCCTGTGTCAGATTTCATAATCCTCAATCACATTCCTTCTCAGCCCTCCTAGGAACAAGACTGATAGAAACTCTCAGACACAGAGCTTTCTCAGAGATAATGACAAACACCTAAAAAAATGCAGGCAGGGAGACAGGATACCTCCAATCCTATCCCTACCACAGGGATGGAAATAGACCTCCAGAGAAGGCCCTGAGATTCAAACAGACAAGGAAGAAGTGTTACAGAGCAAGAAAAAAAGTGTCCCAACTTCAGAAGGCTACTGAGATAGATTAAAATGGCAGCAGACATGCTTTCTTAGACACTTTCTACCAACCAGATGGAGGAAGGAGGGGACAGAAAGGCTAGTGCACGTTCACTGTAGATAGGGCAAAGAAAAAAAAACAAAACAACTTTCTGTTGCAGAGCATAAGTATATTGTGCGAATGTACAGTTACAGATCTGGAAGCAGGCATTTGGAAATGGCAAAAATTACAGAATGCTGTAGGAAATCCACCACTTTATCATAACTTACCTGGCTGATGATAATATTTTTGACAGTGTGACCTAGTTTCCAGTGACCCAATTCATGACCAAGTACAGCCAGAACTTCTTCATTTTTACATCCTTGTTTCTTATTCTGAGGGAATAACAAAGCAGAAGTAATATCAGGTATGACTAAATACAACTGAATAAATTTCTTACTTAGTTTTTTCCTCAGTCACTTAAGTGTCCCTAGATCAGGCCATTCCCTTCTACCAGCAAATACACATACATAATTTCTTATTGAGCCTTTTTTCAATAAGGTACTTACAAAAAAAATAAACTTTTAAGTTCAACAAGATTTCTACCATATTCTACCTTATTTCTATGTATGCAGACATGCCTATGCAAACCTGGAGGAACGCTGGAAGATTTGCCTTCCAAACTCTCTCCTACCATCCCTTGATCTCATCCTGGTTATTTACTTAAGAAGAGGTGTTACAATGAAAGCAGACATTCAGAGCTACAGACTTTCAACAGAGAATTGAGAGCAAAGTCCTCTCCCTACTTCCTTCAACACTCAACGTGTAGCCTCCCTCCACTATTGTTCCTTTAAAAACAAATGACAACGTCCCTGTTCCCTGCAACAAATGTCGCATGCCTTAAAGCTATCATTAGGAGAGATGGACATCTGTACCTTCAAAGGTACATTAGCAAGTAAGAAGCAAGTATGTGTGCTTGTGTACCTGAGAACATAGCTGAAGAATCTGTTGAAATGGAACAAATTATTCTCATTGTGACTATAGCAGGTGAGCTCAAAATCCCCTGCTCTCATGACTGACTTCTGCAGTATGCCATACCAAACCATGGACGGAGAGAATTCTACCACCAACACAGTTACAAGAAACAGAAGCTGGACTGGACAACAATCTATATGTTGGCCTAACCCTAAGCTGCGTGAGGCAATTCTTTCTTCTCAGAATTACTCCTCCAGGCTCTTCAGAAAGTATTCCATTAGTTTTAACCATCTCTACACTCTCCTGAAGCAACAAAAACTGTTACAGCAGACTCTTGATGTGCAGCTCCACGTCAATGAGAAGGACAATGAAAGGCCATCATCCTGTTCTTGACCAGGGCAGGAGAGGATGCACATGTGGAATCTGTACGTGCATTGCACACCTGCATGCCTCTTGCACCAAAATTCTTACATGTAGTAAAAGGCACGCAAATGACACACTGATAGAAGCATTTCCTTCAAAGGGAAGCTTCTGTGTGGCAGTCTCAAGAGAAGGAACATGACCCTGAATGAGTCCCTTATTCAAACAATTACAAGGAAGGCCTATTTTTTTACATGCAGGGAACCAACGTATTTTTATAGAGATTGTGGATTTCTACAGTCTCTTTGGTGCTATCTGCACCACTCACACAGCCTCAGAAATTCCAATTAGTGTTGAAATCCTTAGGTTTGGGGTTTTAGTATCTCAGTCAGGACCTTTAAAATACATTAAGAAAACACACGGGAATATCTTGGTTGATGTCACCGCCACAGTTTTGGGGTTTTTGATAATGGGATGGCCTATACAGCACCAGTCATGCTGGCATCAGACGGGATTCACCTTTCTCAAAGGGGAAAAAGGGTCTTTGCCGAGGAGCTAGCAGGGCTCATTGACAGAGCTTTAAACTAGGCTTGAAGGGGCAGGGGGATAATATCAGGCTTGCCTGTAACAAACTGTGGGATGAGATGCCAAGGACAGAGGGATGGGGTGCCAGCAAGGGGCCTTGCACTGGATACACTCCAGCACACTTGAAGTCTTACAGAGATGAGCCAGGGGCTCTTGAGGTAAAAGGAACCATCAGGGAAACACAGGTAAAGTACCTCAAAGGAATTCCAGCCACTCCAGCCAGCCAGTCAGCTTCATGGGGGGCAACTTAAATGCCTCTATGCAAATGCACTTAACATGAGGAATAAACAAGAGGAGTTAGAGATGTGTGCATGCCTGCAGGGCTATGATCCCATTGGCATTACGGAGACGTGGTGGGATGGCTCGTATGACTGGAGCGCTG